TGATGATCATTTCGGCGCTCGACGCCGCTAGATGTGATCGGACTTGGGTATGAATATCTGTAAAGACACGAATTTGTTTTGCCGCGAAATCATCCATATTATAACACGGGTATGGCGCATCTGTAAGGATGTCGTAAGGTAGATGTTTATCTGTACCATAGACAATGTAGTAGGGTGATTTGCCCGTAGAGCTATGAACTGACCCATTTATAGACGCTGCTACCTGCAGTAACCAATCTTCCCATGCGTATTGCATATCACTGACAATCGGACGCAGTATTTCTAGGATCTTGCGATTGGTTCTCTCAACAAGGCCATTAGCCTGTGGATGGTAAGCTGTCACAAAACTTTGTTTAATTCCATATTGCGCACATATTTTCGCTACTAGCTGATTCTTGAACTCTGTCCCATTGTCAGAGAGCAGAAATTTAGGCGTAATATATGGACATATAAGGTTCATCACTCATGCATAAGCCACAGCATCGGCCGATTTATCTCTTAGTGGAGCCAAGACCACGAACCTGGAAAAATGATCCACACACACTAAGACGTACGTTGATCCCTGATGACTCTTGGGGAGTTGTAACAAGTCAATAGCGACTGTGTCAAACGGACGGTCTGGTATAGGATATTGTAGAATCGGGGCTGGTGATCCTGTAGAGCCTTTATGTTGAGCACATGCCAAACAATTAGCAATGTGTAACTCTGTCTTTCTTCATAGTGTTCCAGAAATACTTCTTTCGTAATTCCGCTAAGCATTTGTCACGACCCTGGTGACCTGCCTGTGGAACATCATGGAACAATGTTATTACCACTTTACACAACGTGTCGGGTACGACTATTTGAGAAACATTACCCTCTGGCGTCTTTTTCGACCTATGGAGTATGTTATGTCGTAATTCAAACTGACTTAAGGGAAGAATAAATTTAGGAAGTTTAACATCCTCTCCTGATTCGAGAGCAAAAATAACTGCTGACCATAATGGGTCGCGTCGTTGCTCATCTTCCAGTTGCGAAAGAGTGAAGGTTGATACAGGCATTACTGGTGCTATATTTCTTGACAGAGCGTCGGCGACATCATTCGCCCTCCCAGGTAAATATCTAAACTCGGGGTCAAACTCTTGAATTGTCAGATACCAGCGTGCTAATCTGCCTGATAAGTTTCTGCCATGGAACAGCTCAGTTACTGCCGCATGATCAGTAAAAACAGTTATCTTATATCCAAAGATATTGTCTTTAAATTTCTTAAGTGCCCACACAACGGCTAACGTTTCTAAATGCGTTACCGAATAACGTGTTTCAGCATCAATAAGTTTGCGACTTGCAAAAGCTATATCACTCTAAACTTCCTACGCGTATCCTCTTGCATGAGCACGGCTCCGACTCCAAGTCCGGAAGCGTCAGTACAGAGAGTGAAAGGTTGAGAGTAGTCTGGGAATGTGAGAACCGGGGCATTGGTAAGCGCTGTCTTCAATGCCGCAAAACTATGTTCGTGTTCAGCGTCCCATATAAACATTGCATCTTTTTTGAGCAACCTTGTTAGGGGCGATGCTAATGTTGCATAGTTCTTGATGAAAGAACAATAATATCCAGATAAGCCAAGAAAACTACGCACATGATCAACTGAGGTAGGACATGGGAACTGAGATACAGCTTTGAGTTTATTATCTACTGTGTGGAAGCTGTCACCATCAACTACATGACCAAGGAAATGGATTCTGGATTTTAAAAACTCACACTTCAAGAGTTTAATTTTAAGACCTGCTGTGGAAAGTTTTTCCAAAACTTCACGCAGTTTACTCAGATGGGAATCAACGTCCTTACTGACTACTATTAGATCATCTAAATAAGCGCAGACTGGTACCAATCAATCCGGCAAACAGGGTGTTGATCATTCTTTGAAATGTTAGTGGGGCATTTCTGAGACCAAATGGCATCCGGAGGAATTCAAAGTGGCCTAGGGGCGTTCTGAACTCCGTGACCTCTCGTGATTTCTCATCGAGTGGTATCTGCCAATATCCACTAAGCAAATCTAAGTTGCTGAATACTGCATTGTCCTTACCTAAGGATTGCAATATGTCACTCAAGACAGGCATAGGGTACTTATCAGGGATTGTTTGTTCATTGACGCGCCTGAAATCTATAATAGGGCGCCATCCACCATCCTTTTTGGGGACGAGGAATAAGGGGTTATTAAAGGGGGATTTAGAGTTCTTAATAACACTTTCATCCAACATACCCTGCACCATATCTTGAACTACAGCGCGCTGGCTATGAGGTAGTCTGTAAGCTGGTATGTAGATAGGGTTTGTTCCCTCCTTTAATGCTATATGATGGGATGTTAAATCTGTCTGACCTAGCTTTTCCCCTGGCAAGGCTACTATATTTCTATAGTCAGCAAGCAGCCCTAAAAGGCGTGTCTTGCCCTGAGGATGATCGATCACCTTAACATGTGGCGCAATTTGATCTATCCTGTCCTGCCGATTCTGTTGGTATTGCATAACAATACTACCAATTGGGAATTTTGTAGGCTGTACTTCGACATTGTTGTGATACACTAGAAAATCACACAAATAACATCCTTTCTTTAAAATTCGTTGAACGCCTGTTCTATTCAGAATCAGTACGTCTGGTGCTCAACGTAGACTCACACGATAGCCCTTTTACCTTGCACGTTTCCGGGAGACACACAACATCTGTGCCCATGTACACGTTGGGTAATTCGACAGTTGCTGTGGTGAATTCCTCATTCTGGTAATGGAGAGTCCTCTTCAAAATTGCAGGTACTATCTTCCAACTATTGCTGCTGTAATCACACTGGGAAAGTGTGGGGTTGAGGTCATGAGGTAGCTCTGACGCATGATCCGCCTTCCATTTAATAGGATTGGTGGACAACACTTTCGATCTAGCGGTGAGCATAGGTTCAGAACGACTCATAGCGATGTAGGAAATACCTTTAAACGTAATGGTATTATTACGCGGATGAACATCTATCATGTTCGTTCGAAGGGTTAGAAGACCAAGTAACCCATCACCTGGCAAATTGAACTGTTGAACTACATGATAGTCCGCGTAAAAGGGAGAACCACGTCTTGAAAATCTGAGTGGTAACGTCACCATTCCATGAATGCTCAGCTGAGTACCTGATACTCCTTCGAGCTCAGCGTTACTAGGTCGCCATTTGAAGTCTCGGTGAGGGAATTTATGGTGTAACTCTTGATAGGATGTCAAGGCCAAAACGTTAGCGCATGCACCCGTGTCAATATCAAGAGCCACTCTTGTACTATCTACCCTCACCGGCACTGACAACACTTCAACTTTGCTTAGCGCTGCTACTAGTGAGGCCGCTATAGAAGTGCTGTGAGGAGAGGCAGGAAAAACTGTGCCTATCCCACCGCTGCCACCTTATATGAATCCGTCGGTTAATCCCCCAATTAACCGGATTGTTCACATAAATAAATACAGATAGACCCCGACTTACGACGGGGTTAGGGACCCAAATCCAGGTCGTAAGTCCGACATAGATAATTTATTTATTTATTTATTTTTTTTTTATTTTATTTTTTTTTTTTAATAAATAATCTACAATGAAATACAGTACAGTAAAAGTAATGAATAATGAGGAATGGATACAGTACAGTGAAAGTAATAAATAATAAGGAATGGTTACAGTGTGACAGCACTTACCTTTAATGTAGTCAGCTGAATGCACATGGGGCCCCCATAATTTTCTAATTGTACATGGAGACTACATTAACTGGAAACGTTTCGGTATAGAAAATGCGTAAGTCGTAAGTCGTAGCAGTCGTAAGTCGAGGTCTGTCTGTATTGGGGTTTTAGTAACGAAACCCAATTGAAGTTCCTTTGTTTTATTATAAAAGGATTATGTCTATAATTCCTGAGTGTAGATCAACCGTAAGTTCCACTGTATATGAGTGAACGAGAAAGAGGACGGCATTTATGTAATATAAACGTTGATCACGTCCGTTAAATATTAGTTGATCTGAGTGACTGAGCAAGGAGCGTCGCTGGTGCACGCTTACAAAGATGCTGACATATGGGCTTGTCCCTCTTGGGAAAGCTACCGCTCACGTGTACAACTCATGTCTTACTCATAGACAGTGGAAAGTTACTGGGTGGTGAATCTGAATATAATATCAGATGTATTGACCCATTTATATAATATGTTCTGTTGATGAGACAGGGGCCCATTACATCCACCTTGCTTTGTGAAGTGCGCCGGGGTAGACAATCGTGAAGTTCACTGGCTCGGATCCTTTAGTTACAAGCAGCAGACAAAGCTCTACCAGCTCCTTGTAGTCGCCACGTGTAAATGGTTGGGCTAGAGATTCACGGAAGAAGTCAGCTATCTCCTGCTGGCGCTCCTCAAACACTCCAGGCATTGCGGGGTAGTAGTATTTCTTTTTTTTCATTGTACACCAGTTGAGAGAAATGGGTCTTGAACCTAGAAATGCTATTATTGAGATTATTGTATTTCATACTAATCTATAATACTGTTTTAGGGGTATTAAGATTGATATGATCGATCATTTGCTTGGTGTTAGTATATCTTATGTCTAATAAAAGAAATTCTTCTAAATTTGTTTATTAGATAATGATATTCCTTGTTATTTTGTAAAGCTTATGACTCGCCTCTGGAAAACCATTATGTTTGGACTTGAAGAGCCGGTGCTAGCTCAAACATGCACCGATCTCCAAGAAAATTTACAGGGGTGTTTCCTAGATAAATACACAACACTAAAACTTTAAACAGCATTGTAGGACCATTTTTTTATTTTTGGAGGGCAACGGTCACACCCTACCCGGGTGGGCTAATCCCCATAAAAAAAAAACCACCTCTTTCCTATACTATCTCCCTATTTCTGTGAGATTCTGCAGCCTTTATCCACCTTACACAAAATAAGACAAATAAAGATGCTAATGTAGATAGATAGAACTAGTTTCCAGGAAAAATTATTATTACTATCTTTTTGTTCCAGGAAGGACCAGAGAAGAAGACTTTTGCAGCCCACTTACATCATAATGGCTACAGAACATTCTTTGCTGGAAAATACCTCAATCAGTATGGGATGGATGAGGTTGGTGGGGTGCAACACATCCCCCCTGGCTGGGACTGGTGGTTGGGCCTCAAAGGTAATTCTCGATACTACAACTACTCCCTCTCAGTAAATGGAACACATAAGAAGCATGGATCTGATCCCAATAAGGACTATCTAACTAATGTTATAAGAGAAAGAGCTCTTGAATTTCTCAGCCAGTCTTCCTTTTCTAAGCCATTTTTCATGATGTTGTCAGTTCCAGCAGCACACGCACCGTTCACTCCTGAGCCAAAATACTCAAATAATTTTACTTCTTTAAAAGCTTTACGAACAGAAAACTTCAATATTAAGGCAGGAAAATCCAAACACTGGCTACTGCGGCAAGGGGTTCAACCTTTACCTGATGATGTTATCACTAAAGTTGACAATGTGTTTAGGAATAGACTAAGAACATTACTGACCGTTGATGACATGGTATACAATGTCTTACAGTATTTGGAGTTGAAAAATCAGCTTGAAAATACTTATGTAGTTTTTACTTCTGATAATGGATACCACCTTGGGCAGTTTTCTCAGCCACTTGATAAGCGAGAACCATATGAAACTGACATACGAGTTCCCTTCTTAATACGTGGTCCCAGTATACCAGCAGGGAAAGTGATCAAATTTCCAACCTCCAATATTGATCTTGCTCCAACTTTCTTGGACTTGGCAGGTTTGCAGATACCCAAATACATGGATGGCATATCTCTTAAGTCCATAATTGCTGTAGATACTGTTGCTGCACATAAGAATGAAATTATAGTAGATAGGAAAGAAAATTATATTGGAAAATATAATATCAGTAGTTACAGAAAACACAGAGAACTAAGAAGAACCATTCTAGTAGAACACTCGGGTGAAGGAAAATTAACCAACGTGGGCTGTGAATACATTCAGTCAGGTATGAGTGGATGTAATCCAGATTTTGCCTGTAAATGTGAAGATTCCTGGAACAACACATACTCATGCTTGAGACAAATTAGTGATGGAGAAAATAGATTGTATTGTAAATGGGATGATGATGAGGCCTTTGAGGAACTTTATGACTTGGACAAGGACCCTTGGCAATTAAACAACACAGTGAGATTTGTAACCAAAAATATTCACAAAAAATTAAAAAATCTTCTGAGGAACATGCAGCGGTGTCGAGGTTCACGGTGTATTGATCTAGCGAGCTTTGTAGTTTAACCTCATGCTTGCTGCATGCTGTAGTAACCCACTTTAACAACTACTACTGCCATCATTGATTTGGTAATTTCTCAATAAAAAAAAGATAAAGGAAACTTAAGTACCTATACACTTAGCTATCTTTAAGATGTAGGGATTAAATAAAACAAAGAATGTGTTGAATAAATTTATATCTAACAGAACGGGGGAAAACTAGCAAGCATATGTTGTACCAGTTTGTCATCAATAGTCCCCCCCTCTTCTTTTTTATTATTATTATTATTATTATTATTATTATTATTATTATTATTATTATTATTATTATTATTATTGTTATTGTTACTAGGTAAGACCTTATTAAGAGCTCCATCTTAATGCAAGGTCTGTCCAAAAAGATACCAAACTTTTAAAAAAGCAAATTTATTGCTTTACTTACAACTTAATCAGACTTGTCTCCTTCAAAGTACTCCTCTCCACTGTTGATACACCGCTCCCAACGTTTTTTTCCAGTTCTGGAACGTGTTTTGGGGGATAGTGTGCATGTCTCGTAGCGAATTTTCTTCTATCTCGAATATCGTTTGAAATCGGCGACCTTTCAGGGTGGATTTCAACTTTGGGAAAAAAAAAAGTCCACAGGGGCCAAATCCGGAGAGTAGGGCGGCTGGGGGACGATAGTCGTCTCGTGCTTCACCAATAAGTCGCGGATAAGGAGCGACGCGTGAGCAGGTGCATTGTCATGATGCAGCATCCTGGTCTTGTTTGTCCACGCCTCAGGCCTCTTCCTTCGCACTGCCTCCCTCAAACACTTCAGGATCTCCAAGTAAAAGTCTTTATTGACTGTCTGACCACGTGGAACAAACTCATGATGAACGATGCCCTTCCAATCAAAAAGACGATCAACATCACCTCCACATTTGAGCGACTCTGACGTCCAGATTTGGGATCATCTTCGGTGGAAGTTCTTCCCCTTTTGAAATGTTGGTACCACACGTGACATTGCGTACAGCTCAAACAATCCTCCCCATAAACCTGTTGCAACATTTGAAAAGTCTCCATAAAAGTTTTTCCCAATTTGAAACAGAATTTCACGCAAACACGTTGCTCTTCAAGATCCTTCATGGTTCAACTTGCAACAAATCGCCAAGTGCACTCAACACATGTTCACTCTAGCACGTCTAGCTCAATGACTAATTGACGTGGCGTAATGCGGTTAGTGTTAGACTAAAGGTCAAGGTCACCACTACACAGTGCTCCCATCGTGAGCACGCTGCGCCAGCTCGTTGGCGCGCTATTTACAAAGTTCCGTTTATTTTTGGACAGACCTCGTATAAAGGTTTGCTTACTAAATATTCTCAAAAAATTTTGTTTTCATGCATAGAATGTACTGTAAATCCTATGTTAGAGAAAGGAAAACACATAAAAATTACTTACGGTAATAAATTGTAAGTTGGCTGTGACCTTTGCACCTTCAGTGAATTGACAAAGAGACACTAAACTGTGTCTGAGCATAACAGGAGTGAGTGGCTCACTGGTTAGTTCTTGTTGATACCAGATGTAGCTAACTACCATTTTTTAATTCACTGAAGACATGGAATCCACAAGCTACTTATCACTTCCTCTCAATTCAGATGCTTAATTTCCTTGCTCTGGCATCATAATTATAGTCAGTGTTTTAAAACAAATGTTTGATTAAAAATCCCCAGAAACAATACACTGGTATATTGTAGCTTACATATTACTGTACTTGTACAGTACAGTTTTATTATTATTATTTTATTATTATTATTATTATTATTATTATTATTATTAATATTATTATTGTTATTTACATTACTATACAGATATCCCTCGCGATATGAATGGGGTAAGTTCCAAAAAATCCATTCGTTACGTGACTTTACATATCATGAATAGATATACATATGGGAAAAATAAGGTTTGGTTTCCCGATGACAAAAAATTCTAATATCATACCCCAAAATCATGAAATGAGTTCACGTACAAGAACAAAACCTACCTAACTAATGCTCAATAGTACACAACTATTGTTGCTTGTAATGAAACTATTAAAGTTGTGGAAAAATCATTAAAATAATCTAATGTGGCTTAGAAATATGGAAAATATAATATAAAACTATAAAATAAGAAAAATGAAAAGCATATGTGGGAAGTAAATTTGATATGAGGTGGGAATGCGTGGCAGCATTCCTTGCCAACTTGACGTCATGACATACTGGACACACCCACTGCTGTGGCCACCACATGTCTGTGAGTCAGCTGGGTGAATGCCTGAACTGTCACAGGCTGGATGCATGGGAGGTTTGTGTGTGGAAGAACTTATTCTTTGTACATAAAATAATAGAGTATGTACTGTATATACTGTACCAGTAAATGTGAGGAATAACAAAAAATAACAAATAAAAGAAAAAATACTGCTTTGCCATTAGGCAGGATATGGTGAGAGAGCGGAGCAGTGAGTGAGGAAATGCCAGCTGTAGCTCTCTCCCTCCCACCCTCAGCGCTTGCTTCTACACACACAATGATGAATTCCCTCATGTTTTTGACCTTATGATAATTATTTTATATGTTTTTTGCCACATTCCGTATGAAGATTGTGTGTGCATGTAACAGACGAGTAAAAAAAAAATAAAGAATATTACTTGTACGTACTGTATATCTATCCTCAAAAATATGAGTTGAAAAATAACAATTAGGCAACTCACAGCTTAGCCCGACACCTCACCACCCACTCCCTCTTCCACAATTTGCACTCTCTCTACCAAACACATGATAAACATAAAGAAAATACTGTATAACTTTGCTACATTACCTTATGGGAGGGCAGTCTGGGCTCACCACAAGGGGATGAGTGGGGATGGGCTCAGTAAGGGCCTTACTCCACCCAAGATGGCTGCTGCTACCTACCAGGACGCAATTTGAATCTTTACCCGGATCCAAATTTGTTTAACCTGGGGAAGGTTTTGTATCTTAAAAAAAAGGTTGTCAATTTTGGAAATTCGTATACCGGTAAGCGAATTTTAGTATCTAGAACGTTCGTACCACGAGGGATACCTGTATGTATTCAGTTTTGTAATAACTGTTTGTATTAAATCTGCTTCCATAACACATGCAAATAGCCATTTTATACTGTGTATGGTTATTAGCAATGTTCCTCTTACATCAGTATTGAATCTGATGTACTGCAGCTCTTCATAACTTGTGATTTTTTTTATATACTGTATCAGTAATCTACATAAGTGTGTGTGTATATATATATATATATATATATATATATATATATATATATCCAGAATTGAAATTTGCTCAGAAAATCATTCCCAAAGCCGGAATTAGCCAAAAATTTTCGGCTTTGGGATAAATTTTCCAGGGTTGAAAATGAGAGAATTTTCTGAAAATGTCTTGAATAAAGAGGAAGGCTAAAGTATTTTTGGGAACCTGACCTGTCTCAGTGTTAGGTGAAGATGGGTGGGGGGATTAGTGGTCTCATATTACTGACCTGATGGAATGTCAGGTCACCCTTTCTTGGGTGGGGGGATTAGCGGGTTTCATGGCCTGAAGATATCTCGAATAAACACAAAACCTAAATTAGTTTTAGGGAGATTGTGGTAAGTATAAGTATAAATGAGATAAGTTGTATCCCTTCAACATTATACTGTACTACATAACATTTTAAAATGTGGAGTGAGAAAGCAGAAAGATGTGGGTGATTAGAGAGATGGAGTGGAAAGGAGTGGTAACATGCGCCAGTGTTGCCAAGCGATAAGCTCCTCAACAGCTGATCTTTTAATTTGCCTCCATGCAGTCACACAACAAGACCCTCACTGGATGCTTGTTGTCTTAATTCCCGTATTCCCGTGTGTGTGTGTGTGTGTGATAATAATTAACGGTTTATTGAAAGAGCATGGCAGCCGGAAGACTGAAAATATACAATTACATAATTGGGGAATGGGTCTCTTGATTTACAAATGATGTACAAGTAATATAAGTGATACAAATATGATATATAATAATTAGGTGTTGATAATTTTTACAATGGTTGGGACTGGGCTGTTCTTGTAGCAATCAGTTCGTGCTCTTATGGGCTGGATGCGGTTGGGCAGTTGTGTGGCTACGTGGACAGGACAGTAGCTTGGTGCAATGCAGGTGTGCTCCATCCTTCAGGCTAGGTCAGGTGAAGCCATGGGGTCAGGTCAGGTTAGGTCAGATCCACCCACACTTAGTATTGCTGTGTTTTTGTGCTTATCCTTTGAGTTAAAATTGCCACTTTTGTATATCACTTGTGGGTTAATCATCAATCTTTGCACTGTACTGTTGGTGTGAGGATGTTGATAAATCCAGATGGGGAGATGGGGAAGGGGAGGGCCCGACAGACCGGGCTGGCAGCTGTCTCCATGGTCAAGAGACCACGGCCGTGTTACCGGGCAGTGCCGACTACACACGTCCTTACCCTATGAAGGCTGAGGGAAGTGTGTGTGTGTGTTGTGTTAATAATAATAGTACTAATAATTAACGGTTTATTAAAAAGTTCTGCAACCCAAAGGCTGAAAATATACATGGGGTGGGTGGGTCGTTTAACAAAAGCATTCATTACTGCAAGGAGAAGGAACATGAACTGAATATATAAATTATTATAGTTTACAGCTGATGGCCCAGGCTGGTCTTGTGCCATACTGTGTGAGGTCACATAGGCCTTGTGGTTCAGTAACTCGTGTGTGTGTGTGTGTGTGTGGTGCAAAATAAGTGATGTTTATATACTCAAATTAATCACTATCTTACAAGAACTCTAGCAATACAAGTTATATTCTCGTAAGTCAAGTCAGTGACATTTTATAAGCGTTTATCTATCCTGGGTAAAAGTGACCGGGCCACGGGTCGTCTCATTGTTTGTCTACTCTTCATGATACAATATTATTTATTTGTTTTTCATTAATTAGTACAGATACGTTACTGTAATAACCTGAGCTTATTAATACATGTACCCTTCATATACAATACAGTATAGTACTATGTATATACCTTATAGGTAAAAAAAATGTCATTCAAGACAAATTCAGGTCATACGACCCACTTATCCCCATCCCAACACTGGGCGACCTGACGTTGCATCAGGTCAGGTTAGTAACGTGACCCAATAATCTCCCACCCAACCTTCATCACAAGTGTTAAGACATGATTAGTTATGTATTACAGTCAATTGAGTGAAGTGTGTAATGTGACGATCGCCCAAGCGACTAATGAGCCAATGAGAAACCGTTCTGTTCACAACTGTATCATATAGAGCTTTTGTTTTTTAATATATTTATTTTGCCAAACTTGTAGATAAAGTATTCAAGATTATTTTGATGAAAAATAAATGGTGTGTAACAAAATTAGAACTGACTTTACTGACTCCGGTATCAACATTTCTTACATTTTTTTAATAATTAATTTGGTTAAGCTCAAGGAGTGGTCACTGGGTTGTGCCAGAGTAAAAATTTTGACCGTATGGTGTCATAGGGTAAGATAGTAAACAAGGTGAGGGTTATCCATGGTGGAAAGTGGAAAATGGCCACTTACTGTCTGTAAGAAGGGTGTTGGCAGTAATTCACTGTGGTACAGTGAGTATGGAAGGTGGGTATATAAGAGGTACAGTGGTGTAATTGACAGACAGCAGGATGTTACTGTATATGCAGGTAATCATGTGGCCTTAGCAAGGCTGGAAAAGCTCAACACTGGGGGTATATCCCCGGATTTTGTTGATGAGCTCCGCTACCTGGATGACATGGTCAGTGCTGGATCTAGCTCAGAAGTGACTGGAGGTAATTTAGGGAGCTGTTGCCTTTATTTATGGCAAGAGGACTTTTTCTTCATGTGCAAATTATTATGTATGCAACTGGCATGAGAATTATATTATCTGCATGAAACATGGAAAGCTAAAGGTAGGGATGCATGAGTTGAAATGAGGATGGTGTGTAATGTGACACTGAGAGACGGAAAACCCTTGTCAGAACTAAATGGGCAGCTGGGTATTGAAAGTATTGGCGAGGTTATATGCAGAGGTAGGCTGAAATGATACAGGCATGTGGAGAGAATGGAGGAGACCAACTGGTTCAAAAGATGCAAGAGTTTAAATGTGGAGAGGGGGGGCAGCCAAGAATGACATGGGGAAAGGTGAGAGATCATCACAGTGATCACCTGTTGAGAAAGGCTTTAATAGACCATGAAGCATGGAAAGCTGCCGTCATTTAATCATGGCTAACCCATTCAAGCATGGAAAATGGCTGTAGAATGTTGATGATGATTATGAATCATTGGCTGAGCTTTCCACTCTCTATTTTCTCACTCGTCCAAGTCCATTCCTGCCATAGTTTGGGGTGGCCAGAGCCAAGAACAGGATACATGTTCTTTCAGTCACTTTCTAACTACCTTACCCTATGTGTTCTACTGTGGTACTGTATGATGAATTTATTAGATCACAATGCATATTTTCTCTGTCCAACTGTCAGTAAGTTTTTCGATTTTTACATATTGTATCTTGTGTTGGCAGGTGCAGGCTTAATACTGTAAGACATTCCTAGCAGTATTGCAATTGAAATTATTTGAACCAGAAGTTTTTACTGCAAATTTTGTCCATACTTAGTGCATCCTAAACAAACTGAAGCAACTTTTATAGTTAACAGGCTGCCATCATTGTGCTATACAAAATGTAAGTTAATGCATGGTTGTAAACCTTAGATCTGAATCATTTTTGTAATAGTGTAATTATAGACAAGTGTTTCTTTTGCTCAGCTAAATCAGGGTGAAATAAACACACTACTACTCACAAGAAACCAAAATAAGGCTCTTTATTATAAACGTGTGTTGTGTTTAACAAAGTTAATGGTTGAACCTTGGAGTGTTTCATAAATACTGTACCCTGTATACAGTACAGGGTATATATTTTGCCTAACTACTGTAAATATATTCATCATTGACACTAGTCTTAATTCTCACTTTTACTTTTAGTATGCACATTTTTTCTCTGCTGTTTGGTATTTTGTTATTTCACTGGCATCCACATTCACTTAAGCAACTACAATGCTTCACTCTCTTGTACAACCTTTCCCACATGGCACAGATCAAGAGCAACACAGACTGTCCTTCATTTGCTGCCTTACTAGTTATCTTCCTCTGTAGTGTTTCCTCCCCATAATGAGGCCCCAAGACATATATGGTATACCTGTCACTTCATACATCCCCCAGCTGTTACTGATGGTACAAAAAAGAAAACTAAGGTAACTGTAGTTGTAAAATTCCATGAGGGCCTAAGAGGTAGTTGTAGCTCAGCATTCCTTACAAGCTGTATTCAGGTTATGTTAATGATTAATAAATATTAAGACCGTTTATTAGTCACTGACAATAATTTTTTTTTTATGCTTGCCTT